GGGAAAGGCGGTTGATTTGTCAGGTTGATTTGTTTCAGTATTTAGAACCATCTCGATCTCTATCTTACAGGAGAAGAACTCGCACACTGTGTGTCAGTTCCAGTACACAGACTGGCCGGACACTGGACTCCCGGACTCTGGAGTGGGAATAGTGGATCTGATCGGTCAAGTACAGAAATGGCAGCAACAGAGTGGAAATACAGCAATCGTGATACACTGCAGGTAAGAATGAAGCAGAATAAGGGCAACAGAAAACTGTTTACTTATATGCCAACCAGCTTTGATGTTTATGCTGCAGAAAGCTGCGATATTTTAGTCTTGTCTTGAAGCGCGACACAAAGTCGACTAGATGGCTTCATGTCCAATTTTAAGTGTTCAATTTCCAAAAAGTTGTTCTCAGAGTTTGAAATCTAAGAAATAAAAAGCAAAGTTACGAAATGCAAGAATTGCCATCTTGATTCCCCCTACCCTGAATCCCAGGCTTAGTCAGCAGCATTTAAATCACAAACCGCTGATAGGTAGTTAAGGTGTGAACTCACTACCCTTTTAGAAAAGCTACCCCGTATAGGCTCTAATGGACAGTCCCATCCCTCTCCCCTTCCCGGAAGGGAACACTAAGTTGCAAACTCCTAAGATGAAACTTGCTCATCTCACTTATGTCATCAGTGGTGGTGTCGGCCGTACGGGCGTGTTCTGTGGGATCAGCATCATGATAGAGCGCCTCAAGGCTGAAGGAGTGATTGACGTGTTCCAAACGGTTCAAGCTATGAGGCTCCAGAGACCTGCCATGGTGCAGACTGCGGTAAGACGTAAAGATCTGTTACAATAGCCGCGAAAGAATTTAAGAGCTACATTATGTAACAAAATACGCACAACTCGATCTCCCAAAAATGTCCTTGTCCTGTTTTTTGCTCCATGTCAAGTACAAGCCTTTAACAACGATTGCACGCCGCAAAATTTACATCTTGACTTGTACATCTTTTAAATATTTTTTTTTTACACGATCTTGTTTCTATTGTTACCAAGCAAACCATTCTTTTTTTCTGATTAAATCGCGCCCGCTATGTATTGATCTGGTCCCGTCCTCTTCTTTTTTGATTGTTTATTTGTATTTCTTTATTTCCCCTCTTTTTTTCGGAGAGGTTGGGGCGATTAGATTTATCTACTTCCTTTTCCTTGTATATAGTCGCTCCTGTGGAAAGCTGTGCAGAACGAAATGATTTTGTTTTACCAACTAAACTGATAATGTAAATTGGTCACCGTGAAGAATTTTTAAAGCTGTCGTCTCGAGCGTCAGCCCTTTGTCATTCGCTCTGACGTCAACTTTTCTACGGTGGCCAAGTTAAATTATAAACGCAGTTGATAACACCAAATTGTCTTGCAAAACTCCTACCTACGCAGCACCACACTTTCTTTAGAAACTTGCCCCCTTTCTTTATTCTTAGCCTCGTTTCCATGTTAGCGAATTTCTGACATGGGTGGTGCTCGTCTTCAGAAGTTAATTTGGATTGGCCCTATATCAGAAAATGTTGGTTGTAAGGTCATAAGTATTGTGGCAAAGTTTCTTGCTTTTATCATTAATTTGAACAATTCAGTGTTTTTTCGGCCGATAACCGCTGGACTATCAAATTTGCCGCCTCATCGGTTTGAATAATTTATAATGTCATAGCATTTGCCCCATGGATTTTATTTACCAACTTTTCCATCCATCTTTTCTTGTAGGAGCAGTATGAATTTTGCTACACAACGTTGCAAGAGTATTTAGATTCCTTTGATTTATACGCCAATTTCCAGTGAACTTCTACCACGCAATTTTTTCTACAAGCGTAGAATGACAAAAGATGGGTCATCTCGAGGGACACATTGATTCAAAACCAAGGGAATTGAAGGAGAATTCATTTGTTGAGCTTGGCCAAGTTCATTACTCAATATTTTGAACGCCAAACAAATTGGTGGTAGTAAGAGTACTAAATCTTTTCGTGAGAATAAATTGGGGTCACTGAACGTGAATAATAGAGAAAAAAATGAAGGTAATTTTTTCTACATGTTATCTATTTTTATACCAATTTTAGATCTCAGAGCGTTTGTCTTACTTCCTCGATATTTTATATAGAGTGTAGTCTTTATTTAGAAATATACGTTAAACGATGGAAGGAAATTCCATTTGAGACCAAACGAAACTCGAAAGAAGTTCTTCGATCAAAAATAGAAAGGATTGATGATAATAGGGGGGCTGTGATTGCAATAAAGTGAAATAAAGATTTTTACGATGGGAGGGCTGATGAAGGAAAGAGTTCACCCTTTAATTGTTAAGAACTGATGAGTAAGTCTCATTCCTTGCTACTATATTTTCCTTATGAATTAGTGACCCGAATAAGGTAATTTTTTAAAATAATCCAGGCTATTAATTGATGAGCATGTCTTTTCTCGTTTTCTTGAGGGAAAATGTATTTGAATTTTTGGGAGAGTTTACATGGGAATCAATTGTGAGATGAAGTGAATGCCCACTGGCGCCTTTTCTCTGATTGCATGGATAACGCGTGTGGGCGTAGTAAAATAGACAGAATGCATGAATGGTTTTTGAAATTTAAATTTAGCTTCCCGTGATCCTGCAGGACAGGTAATCTTACGGGTACTCGAAACGGGTGAAAATGAAACTTAAAATTTGCAGAATACCAGCCACGCGTGGCAGTATGCGCCTCACGCGTGGCAGAGCAAGATTATCGCGAACGAGAACCACGCGATAGGCGAAACAAAATGTTGGTCATGATTTTCCATAAACTTGTTAAACAAAAGACATATGTCTTAAATGTGGCAATAATTATTACTACAGTAGCACAAAGGGTTTTTTTAAAATTTTACGCGCTTCATTACACTTCACATGAAATTTCAGCTGTGCTGTAATTTTTGATAGAAATCTAGTTTCATTGATATTTTTAAACTGTTATCATAATCTTTGTTTGTCTGCGCTGCATTTGCTACTCTGTTCTCTGTCACATCTTTTTGTTGTGAACGATTGTGCTCAATTTTAGTTTTCAGTTTTTTGTGATTCCTTCCCCAAAGTACTCAAAGATTGGTGATTATAGGTGATTATAACACTTTTGATGAATACCGAAATGAGAGAATTGTCATTTTTTAGAGCATGTTAACGATGTGAAAGAGTAAATCTCTTCTACCGGTCTCACGAGTCACACGGAATTTTTTTATTACAATAATTTACATGATATGAATAGTTTAATATTAAAAACTATTTTGCGATTTTAGAGAGTTCTTGACGACAAAATAAATATTAAGTGAGTTCTTGTTTGTGGCATCTGTCTTTTTTTTTGTGTGTGTTAGATCCTGAGCGTCACAGCATTACTGAACTCAATTTCCGTTCCTGGGAGGCTCACAGGTCATGGAAAGTGATATTAACGTGGTCACCCAAATTGTCAGACATTTACGACAGATAACGGTGGATTAAATATCACATTTCTTCTGCTCGTTTTATCAGTGACGGATATAACACCGACCTTAAAACGAATCCAATTCGATGTTCTAATTCAGAAAATGTCTCTCAGAAGAAAAACCTCAGTCAAGTCTCGCCATGAAGTGGATAGTCAATTTGTGCGATGTTTTGTAATTGCTCTAATTTTCGTTCCTTAGTTGTTCTTTTTAAGTTTTTTTTGTTGCGTTTTTATGCGTTTTTTGGTCCGCTCCTTTTTTCGAATACTTTCTTGTATATATTTGTGTTTTTCGTTTATCGAGATTCTCTGTAGAATGAATTGATGTCGTTGAATACGATGACGTATTTACATTAGAAATTATATGTCATCACAAGAAATGTCTTCGGAAGACTTTGCTCAAACTAATATCGAAACTGTGACAGTTTGCTGTATTACGTACATGGACGCCTTGGCAAACTCTTAAAGATTGCCCGCCGGTGTCAGTTTGTTTTACTTTCAAGAGTGGAGATATCAAAAAAGGTAATCAGAATTGTTACTATCTGCCGGCATATGTCAAATACTACAAATTGAATGCTTTTCGAATCACAAAAACGTGAAAATATCAGATTTTGCTATGATAATTGCGTAGAATTATTAGCGACGTGTTTTACGCGTTTTAAGTGTCATTCAATCCTACTTCTCGCAAAATAATTTTTAAGTGGCTTACAATATTTCACTGATTTCACCCATTTCTAATTACTGTTGTCAGATTTTTAATCGTTTTTCGTCAATGGGCAGGGCAGATATCTTGATGTTCCATCCTTTATTTACTTAGGAAAAGTTTTGCGGTCAAAAGAGCGCATGCAAATTTCAACACCTGTACGCCGTTACCGACTTCATAAAAAGGAATTTATTTTTTCTTCTAAGGAGGATTTTTGATGGATAGTTCTACGTATTTTCCGCCTCTGGCTCATGGATCTCCTGTGTTCACAGTCCTCGGGGTCGCGGTTGTATTCCTTATAATCATTTTCGGACTCGTTGGTAACTTCGGCATTTGTGCTATGGTTTATACCCATCGTCATTTACAAACAATACCGAACTACCTGATTGTAAACCTTAGTGTGTCAGATCTCCTCCGGATTTTTTTCACTCTCTCTGTCTCTGCGGGTGTTCTTATTAAAAGGCGATGGGTTTTTGGCGACGCGTTTTGTCATGTAAACGGTTCCTACACCCTCGTATTCCTGGTTGCTTCTCTTATGTCGGTGACGCTCATAAGTGTGAACAGATACTTTTTAATCGTGCGAGCAGGCGAAAGCTCTACGTTTTTCAGTCTGCGACGGACCAAAGTTATGCTTTTCACTCTTTGGTTTCTGGCCGTCTTCATTGCCATTCCGCCAATTTTAGGGTGGGGCCACTACGGTTTCTTCGCCTCACGCGCGACTTGTTTTATAGCAGTGGGAAGCAGTTACTCATACACAAGTTTTCTAGTGATAACATTCATCACAACACCGTTCTCTGTGCTCATCTGGTGTTACGTGAAGATCTACAAAG